TGTTTCACCTAGCTTTCTGAAGCTTGATGGCAAGCTGCTGTTCACGAACGCTATCTCTTGGACTTCAGGGTGGTGGTAGCATGGTGCAAGAATGTTGTACGTGTTCAGGTCTTTCAGTTCCTGCAGATGACAACACAAATTGAGGCCTTACAGTATTTGGAAGGTTGCGTATTTGCTTGTCGGTTTACAGGTTCTGGTACATGGACATTACCCAACGGACTCTATCTATATTTTCTTGGCACACATCATTAACTTTTCCCCAGAATGTGCCGTGGCAAGCAGCACTGACATCCTGAAACAGGGCAAACAGTCAAATCATCGTTAGCTTGCTATCTGTTTACAGAAGAAACTACTTGTGGCACCGGCAATTATGCAGAAACAAGACAAAGCGAAACACCTCAAACAAGTCGGTTGATATGAGACCCATCCCAAGTGCAAACGGCACAAAGGAGTTCAAATCGCGCTGGATGGCACAAAGGAGTTCTTCACGTAGTCTGCGTCGGTTGCTCCGGGGGTGCTTCCGCGCTCAAAGTTGAAGGGATCTGAGCAAAGAACAGGGCACCGGTCGGGCCATCCCAGCCAAAATCACAAGATGATAACAAAGAAACTGCCGGCCCGGACGAAAGGTAAGAATAAGATCAATCCAGACCGTTCTCGTAGACGAATCCGTCGAAGCTGGAGCAGCCGGGGCGCCGTTGAGCCAGAGCACAACGGGGTCGAAGGCCGGATCACGCTCCGACAGCACCAGGCAGTAGAACAGCCTCCTCCATTGCTCTCGTCCACGGTTATGTACCCGGCGTAGTGTTTGGATGGGAGGGCGCTGTCGAAGCCCGGGAGGTGGGTCACGAGCATACCTGGCCAAACTGGCCGGCCCGGCCCGGCAATCGTGCCTGGCCCGCCACGGCCCGCCATGGCATGATTATTAGCCGGGCCGTGCCGGGCCGGCCCACGGGTGGGGGCTCGCTTGCAACCGCCACCCCTGGATGCAAACATTAACCTCAGACTGTAAGCTCACACACACAACTTCGCATGCACAACTAAATGGCGATGAATAAAATGTCAGTGGGAATGACCTTCAAATTGATTCTTGGCTTCAGAGCCTTCTGTTGTCCCTGTAACGACGTAAAGATGACATGTGAGAAACTTCTGATCTCAACCATGAATAATCTACTCACTGTGAGTGACAAAATCTACCTTTAACAACTTCATCAGCTAGTGTAGGAATGTATATCCCTGCGTATGACTCTCCGGAAATGTAGAATGGGTTCAACTGAAACTCCGGGTATAACTCGAACCACTGCAACAACGAGTAAAATCAGCATCCAGTTTCTTGAATTATGTCGTGTAAATTATCACAACTGAAGCAGAGATTGTTACCTTCAAAAGGAAGGTATGCGCATCGGATGCGGTTTTCAGGTCACCTGTTGTGTAATCCGATTTGTTCAATGAGTATGACATCCCAACACCGGCAGGGGAGTCCAGGTACATCATGCTTGAAACCTACTCCCTTCGTCCCATAATGTAAAACGTTTTTTGACACTACACTATTGTCAAAAGACGTCTTACATTATGGGACGGAAGGAGTAGTTAGTTTAATGACACATTTATTCAATCACTTGGCATTGAAAAAATACTGCTCGTTCTATGACAATTTGGTAGAGCTGAACAAGATTAGTACTCCTAAATTCTGGGCAGGCTGCTGCGGGGTAGGCCTGTGTTCAGGTATGCGGATTACCTTTGACCAACTATAGGGTAATAGGGATTGGGCTGCAGCTTGGGCAGCCCTCCGGGGGTGCTTCCGCGCTCAAAGTTGAAGGGACCTGAGCAAAGAATAGGGCACCGGTCGGGTCATCCCAGCCAAAATCACAAGATGATAACAAAGAAACTGCCGGCCCGGACGAAAGGTAAGAATAAGATCAATCCAGACCGTTCTCGTAGACGAATCCGTCGAAGCTGGAGCAGCCGGGGCGCCGTTGAGCCAGAGCACGACGGGGTCGAAGGCCGGATCACGCTCCGACAGCACCAGGTAGTAGAACAGCCTCCTGCCATTGCTCTCGTCCACGGTTATGTACCCGGCGTAGTGTTTGGATGGGAGGGCGCTGTCGAAGCCCGGGAGGTGGGTCACGAGCATACCTGGCGAAACTGGCCGGCCCGGCCCGGCAATCGTGCCTGGCCCGCCACGGCATGATTATTAGCCGGGCCGTGCCAGGCCGGCCCACGGGTGGGGGCTCGCAGCCCAGGCACATCACGCAGCCTATCTGTGCCTGCACGCGGCACGCCTAGGCACGCCGGCCCGTTATGGCACGCTGGGCCGCCTGGCGCATATTTACCTCGGCTGGCGCGTTTTTCCCCTCTGTACATCAAAAAAAAGTCTAAAAAATATAGAAAAATACAAAAAATTAAAGTATTATGTAGGATAAATCTAAAGTTTTATTATCGCTTGCCTCATTAAAACCTTCCATCCCAAAGATGTAAAGGAGTACAAGCTAAAATAGAAAGAAATATATTAGAGCACTACAAATGTACGGATGCACTACAAAATCTATAATACCTAAATAGTTCATCCCCACTATCTAATTCTCTTGACATGCAGCCTATCCACATCATCACCCATGTCCCACACATGCCACCTAAGGCCATGTTCGGTTGACAGGGTTGTGGGGGTTTTTGACAGGGATTGAGGTGGATTAAATCCTCTACAAGTCAAATCCCCCCCCCAAATCCCCTCCAATCCTCTTAGGGCAGGGTGTAACCGAACAAAGCCTAAGACTAGCCATAGTGGGAGTAACTTCGGTAGTAACATCGAGTCCAACTCAGCAAATTTGCTTATGTGGCAATGAGTTAATGAGGAGAGATATAGTACTAGTAACTTAGCTAGTTACTGTAACATCACATGTCCTAATGCAATATGAGTCTATAACCTAATAAATGAAGCTTTGCATGTTACCACACTTATGTTACTACCCATTATTGAAATAGTAACATAGTCTAGGGATATATGTATGTTACTAGTGTATGTTACTCTCCATTGTGGCTAGTCTAAGGGGAAAAAATCAACTCCTTCCACGTCTTCCTTTTTTCCTCCCATGCGTCAAAACTTAGGTTGCGTCTCACTGCATCCCCATATGGGCTGTGCGGAAGCCGTTTCTGATATTTTTATCTAGGTTTAGGCTGCGGGGCCAAGTAGTGGGCCCTATAGCTACATATTTAGACGTTTCAGCCTATGGGTGTTATATAGCTGGATACTTTATTTTGCTGGAACAAACTAGAAGCCCGTGGGAAAACAATACGTAGTTGTCAGTCTGTCCGTCTACCCCAATTACTCTCCACCGAACAGATTGCTTTATCAATCTCTCTTGGTATTCTATACGCCAACTCGTCTTTCATCTTCTCCACTAAGTAACGGGATGGAGTTAATCTTCATCTTCTCCAGTAAGGAACACTATAACTAGCACCCCTGCTTGAGAGGTTTAGCCAGGTTATCTTTTGCTGCAGGAAAATAATGTCATGGAGTTAAGAATTTGAAGCCGCGTCATCAACATCCATCGTACAGCCCCCATGCCTCCACCACAACTGTTTTGGACAGGATGAATTAGGAGGTGGCGTTGATCCAAAGGTTTCCCGAGAACCAGCAAAGCGCTTCATGACGATGTGCCTCCAGGTCGTTGTGTACGCGCTCCCTGGTTGAAGCTTCAACGCTCCTGGGTCTATTTTATTTCCTTCGGCAGTGCCCAGAACCTCGAGAGCAGGTAACTATTTGAATCCCCGATTATATCTGACAAATTAACCTTGCATGAATTGTTGTTGAGTTTTGCTTCATGCACAACTGTTTCTACTAAGGTACAGGTGAACTTTCAAGTCCCCTGGCATCTGATTTGTATCAGGTAATTATTTTGCTCTGTTGACCCATCCTAATCATACTCAACTATCTTGCTCTTTTACAACAAGCTTATCCTCATGATTCGTTTATTAGTTTTTGCCATGCCTTCTACTGCTATGTTCATAGATGAATGAATGTTCTAATTGTTTGCGCCATCTAACGATGAATGTTTACTGATTGTTCTTCTGGATTGTTGTCAAACTGTGATATCTATTTTCCTACATAAGAACAACGAAGCATATATTGTAATGGTACTTGGAGGGTCTGATTATGATTTATTTTGACATGCACGATGTCCAAACAAAAAATATTATATCAGATTGGCTTCCAATTCAGTACCGAAGATTGTTTCCCAATATTTATGGGACATCGGAGATAATCCATGTTTAAAGTTTACTTCCGATTGTCCCAATGATATTTCATTCTCCAAGTGTTTTTTAGTTATTTTGCCCAATTTTATTCTTTATTTCAGTTCCTTTCGTGAACAAAGATTGCAAAGGACAATCCATGCAAGTAAACAAATAATAAATGTTTTATTCCCTGTAAGCCTAAAGTGTTGGCTGCATGTTGCAATGAAAATCGTGGATGAACTAGCTGCATGGATCATCTAATTAATGCGATCATCTGATTAGGGTAAATACTCTCAGAACATCATGTGTTGATTATAATTTATAGTTGTTGCTTTGAGCAGATTAGGAAATATAAATGCATTCTGAGTAATAATTTTGTAGACAAGGTACGACTTAGGATTAAAGGTCATTCAAAAAATAACTCTCATGCCACAACAAATATGTATATATCTATGTTTTTCATGAAGCCTTTTTGGATATTTGGAACATATATTTGAGCTGGCTGCTCATGTGTCACATCATGAGACTATATGACTTTCATGTGCGCTTTGGTTCTACTATCATACGGTCATAGTTTATTTTTCATGTCCATTTATTTTTCTGGTGATTAAGACTTTATACACATATTGATATTTGCATTTAGATGAATTATGTCTATGTGTGTACTAGAATTATTTCAATGTTCCCACGTTAGTGCTAAATCTCTTCATGTTTATATAAAAATATATTATATTTTTAAGCAATTCAAATGTAAATATGGATATTCCATTGGATATTTAATTGATGATGTTTTCCTTTTCGTTCATTTACTTCAAATATCTTCATAGAAGCTAAAATGTCCCGCAACAACGCGCGGGGTATTATCTAGTTATTGAATATATTAGAGTACTAGGTATTTATATTGGACATATTTATTTATATATTTCAAAAAAAGTTAAACGGGCCATGCCGTGCCGGTCCGCGTTCCCAGCCTCCACGCCCAAGCATGGCCCATGGCGTGCCTCGTGCCGTGCCTGGGCTATGCCGTTCCTGCGTGCTACCGGGCCGGCCCAGTTAGCACGGCCCGTTTGGCCAGCTATAGTCACGAGGTGCTTCTCCGGAGCTGCGACCGCGAGAGCGATGAGGGGCAGCAGAAGTGTTGAGTATAATGTTTATTTAGGAAATATAGAATAGCGTAGGATTTGTTCCTGCCTTGACTTGTATTCCAAGATGACCATGTACTCTTACATATATGCCCATGAGGCTCAAGTAATACACTGAATTATTCCATCAAATTTCTCTCCCTTCTACATGGTATTAGCCTTATCTCGATCCCAAAATCCTAGCCGTCGCCGCTTCCGCACCCGCGCGCCGCCCCTGGGGCGGTCGGCCTCCATGGCCGTCATCGGGGGCCGCGTCGCCTGTACCAAGGGTTCGTCCGCCGGTCGTGTTGACTGGCTGCCCTAAAGAGTCTTTTCCCCGAACCCTTGCTCCGAGATTTTCTCTCTCCCACCGGTCATCTTGATCGGCGGTTTCTTTTTGGTTTTCCGATCTAATCTTGATCGGTTTGCGTCGCCCACCGCCACCGTCGATCCCGTGCGTCTCTACTCCAACCCTGGCGCGATCGGCCGGCTTCTTCACCGACACGGCGGCCCCGCGCGTCGTCCGCGCGTCTGCCCCGCGGTCGCCCCGACCCGCCGGCCTCGCGCGTCGTTCGCGCGTCTGCCCGCCGGTCGCCCCGACCCGGCGGCCTCGCGTCATGCGGTGGCTCTTCACCGCCACTGTTCGCGCGCCGGCCGTCACCGCCCTGCTTTGACCGAGACTCCTGCATCACCCCGACCCGGCGGCCTCGCACCATGCGGCGGCCAATCATAGCCGCCATGAAGCCCGCTGTCGCCAGCTTCATCTCGGACTTCGTCGCCATCCCGTCTCCACCGAGCGGAGTCCCCGACCTCGCGCGCGATCGGATTGATCACCCACCCGCCGCCGCGATCCGCCTCATCTACGCCGTGCGACCGACCTGGCCCGTCAGTGGCGCGCGCCTCCGCAGGCCCCGTGAAGACCGTCCTGAGTCCAGCGCACCCCTCTACCGATCGAGCAAGGGTTGCCACTGCGTCGCCCCGTCGGGCCGCAGCATCGCTGCCCCGTGGTTCTTCTCCCGGCTGCACCGACCCGCATCACCGCTATGTCGCCCCTTCGGGCCGTAGTGCCGCGGCCCGCGGTCCACCGCCGCCCCGAGGCCGTCCACTCCAAGTCGTCCCCGTGGCAGCACCGACCCTCGC